TGAATGCTGGGTTTTTATGAAGACAGAGCACCAGAACGCTTATCAAATCTTTCAGCATGGAGAAAACAGGCTCTATGCAATTAGCTCCAAGGTGCTGTGTTGGAAACGCTAAGCACTATCACCATAAGGAGTGGTGGGGCAGCTTAGGTGCCAAACTGAGGTGGCATGAGTGGGGGTGCTGGGGACAGCAGGGGCACAGGCAGCTGGTGGGACTGGGAGGGAGATGTGGAGTTTTAGTTTATGCACCTTTGAAAAGCAAGGGTGAGGCATCAAAGTGGGGTGACCAAATGGTCACTAGAGCTGGAGCTGCAGTTTAGGAGCTACCTGAGCCAAGGTGGTAGCTGAGACACGAGATTCTGAAGATAAATAATGACAGGAAGGGGTACGGTGGATGAGAGTGAGCCTTGCTGTTGGGAAAGGACTGGTCTTAGGGGCACAAAGAGGAACCCGATGACAGTCACATAGTGGGGAGCCCTGGGACCTAGGCCAGTGGTGCCAGAGGCACAGGGATTTCAAGTGGAGCATGGGGTTCCAGGAGGAGGGGCCAGGAGTGTTCCCCAGGTGCGTCCTGAGCTGCATACCTGCCCTCTAGAGCTGTCCTGATTTCCCTCTGCCCTGACTCTGCATCCTTCCTCTCCTCCTGACTTCCGCGGGGCTCAGGACTCGTCTCCTAACTTTGAGGGCCCTGGCTCACCCGAGGCTTGAGGCCCCGACCACATACTCCTCGCCTGCGTGGAAACCCCAAGTGTGTTCTAGGGGGGGGACACTGTGCCTGCCCCTCAGCTTCCTGTATTCCTGAACAGCCAGATACTCTGGGGTTCAGTGGTCTTCATTGATCTGGGTGGAGATCATCGTGCATATTTATTTCTGAGAGAAGGACTTTCAAACTAACCATTAAACTCCTCGTGAGCAATGTTTTTATTCCATAGCGATTTTTCAGAGTCTGTTCTTTCAGAATACCTCTCTGCTGTTTGAGGTTAAAACAGAGTGTGAGTACAGAGGCCACATCCTCCCTTTATTCTCTGCGCCGTGCTTTTTTTAGAAGGCTGCTTGGCTAACACTTTGAAAAGGGATAAGATTTAAAGCATGGTAATACTGAACTTTTGCATTTTCTTAGAGATAACATTACAAGATTATTTTTCAAGTTTATCAGAAAAATGGCTTCGAAAACAAACTCTGCTTGTAAATGTAGTATGACATTGTAATGACTATTTTGGGTGGTGCATGGGAAAGCAGTCCTGAAATTGTCAGGACCTTCCCTGCACCTTTCCTCATGCCTGCTCCCACCTGCTGGGATGTGCCCCAAATTCATCTGTGCGCCGGGGCCGTCTGATCTGCCCCAGAACCCCAGGACTCATGACAGTCACACAGTGGCCTGATCAGAGCCAGTGGAGGCTTGGACCCGTGCACGGCGAGCCGTGAATCCTCTCTGCCCGCTCCTTCTGAACCTCCAGGTTTCTTTTCCACGTCCTGCCCTGGTCTTTACTGTCTCTGAACGCTGGCTCTGCCTCCTGGATCGCACAGAACACTGACGCGGCCGAGCAGAACTGTCCCAGCTCCTCCCGATGGCTGTCCTAGTTACTGCTTGCAGCCTCCCCTCCAGCGTCCCTTTACAGGCCAGGCTCTGTGAGTGCGTGGCCTCGTTTGAAGCCAGCATAGGTGTCTTCTTTGCTATGCTTCTTTCTTGGTTCATCAGTGCCTTTCACCCTCTCAGCTAGAAACTGGGCCAGACCAGAGCATGAGCATTCTGTGTTCGCAGAGTCCAGGAGCAGTCGTAGAGATGGGAGGCCCAGCAGCCAGCTGACCTAGTGGGTCTGCATGCACGGGATGAAGTAAATGTCCCTGACAGAGTGGACGATGGCTTAGGGGAAGAGGATGGGATGAAAAGAGGGGGTCCACGTAAGAGGTCAGAAAATGGAGGGCTCAGGGGACCTCAGCGATGGGGACAGGGGGAAGGTGAGGAGGCCGAGCAGAAGCAAACATCGCAACGGACACTGAGGAGCGCAGACTGCACAGTCCATGACCTGCTGGAAATAGACAGTCAGCACCCTAAAGTGCGGCAGGCGACTTGGGACGTTGCTCTGTGGGTGACAATAGAGCATATTGTCATATGGGATATGCAGAGAGAGAAAGAGCAGCTTAGAGAGGCCCTGGAGGGCCTCCCTGCGAAGCCCTGGAGTCCGGGCTGGAGACTTGCTGTGTCCTGGGCCTGGAAGCTTGTGTCCACTGAGTACTCAGAGGTGTGTTTAGAGACTTGGGTGTAAGGTGCAGCAGGTGAAGAACAGTGCGTAGACAAGGCGGCTGCAGGGCTGGTCTCTAGAGAGGTCTGCACAGTTTAAAGGTGTGGCATGATGTCCTGTGTGAGGAGGGCACAGAGGGAGGGAGAAATAAACAGTGGTGAGGAATGAGAAATGGCACCGTGGGACTCCCAGGACCCTGGGAGCAGGAAAGCCAGGAGAGGGCGGGGGGTCCAGAGAGAGGCGGGACCGGGCAGGCGGGTTCGGTGTCATCCAGGAAAGAGCATGAGCTTCACCTGGGAGGCGGGGAGACCAGGGCACTGGGAAGGGTGGAGAGGGCTCCCTGCTGACTCCTAATTGGACAGGGAGTGGACCGCTTGCAGGAGGAAGGCAAGCAGAGGAGACTCCAGAGAGTCAAGGGGGACATGTAAAGGATGGCCAGTGATGGGGTGTAGAGAGTGCAGCCCCAACAGGGCCTTTGGCGTCCCACCAAACGGTGGACTTTGCTCCTCCCTTTGCCCCTGGACACTTGGATGAGATGGGTGTGCTGCCCTGCAGCCAGAGGGAAGCTGCATCACACAGGAGACCAAGATGCTGGACCACAGGTGCTGCTGCTCTGGCATAGTGACCACTGTTCCTCCTGCATGGTGACCGTTGGTCAGGTCTTCTCTCCTCTGACCACACCTCTGTGATGCACTCCACAAAGTAGCGCCTGCCTGGGGACTCTCCTTTTGGGCCACCTAAAAGTGACATCCTGTTCAATTAACTCTCGTTTTTCTCTTGTTAATCCGTATTTGTTAATAGAGATCTCAGTCACAAAACCCACAAGCCGTTTCAGAAGGCGCGGGTCTTTCCTTTGTCTCTGTTTCTCAAATAAAGGCATGTGAAACCATGCTTTCTGTTTGTCTGTGATGGGAGTTACATGCGAGGAGAGGTGATTTATCTTCTCTGGCTTCCAGAACTTATTCAGTAACTGCTTGGAGCAATGACTGCCTGATCTAAATTAGAAAATTTTGTCTGTGGTCTTCGCATTTACCTGTACCCTACTGTAATTTTTGTCTTACTGTAGAAGTTGACTGCAGTGATATTTAAACAGCAACACTAAGAGTTCTGATTAGTTGGTGTTTGTAGTATTTTGCAAATACATGCACCAACTAATATTACCAGCTAATATTAGAATAACACTATGTATGCACTCACTTTAATCATTCTATAATTTCTGATTTATTTTGTTTTCTGGTATTTATGAGTTTTTTTATCCTATTTATATAGCAGAGTTAAATACATTTTCTTAATTTTTATTTGTGGTAAAGTATACTTAGTTTTAATATATTTTATTTAGTACCTAGTTTGTTTTACATGCAAATTATTCTTCTGTATTTTTCTGATGCACTTCATTCTTTTTTAAAATGATTTTGTTTTCTTTCTTCCTCTTTAGTTTATCAGCTTATTATTTTTTATATATTCTCCTAAACTTCATTTAAATAATTGGTTGTGTTATCTTTTTTATTCCACATTTAATTTTTTATTCTATTATATTTAAATTTTTCTGAAAAGAATTTTGTGACCTCAGTGCAGTGTCAGAATTCCTCTCTAAGGAAAAGGAGGCACAAATAGTTAAGTTCCATGTTTTATACCTGTAGACAAAAATTCAGTTGCCGATATTAAGCCATCTCCTCTCATTTTTAATACACTACTAGTGTTTCCTTATATTTGCGTGGGGAGAAAAGGGTACATGCACTAGATCCATAGCATAAGAATAAATAAATTCAGCACAGGAAGGAATTGAAAATTAAATTACATTGGTCCAAATGAGGAAAAGTGTGTGGTGGTCAGGAATGTTTCTATGCCAGAAAAAGTTAAGATAGAAGTTGGACTTAGGTTTGTATAAAATGTCCCAGATCCATAGCTCATTTGCATTAATTCAGAGAATATTCCTGAAAAAGGATTTGTACTTAAACCCTTCAGTCATAATTTTCATGATCAAAACCATTGTTTCAGAGTTTAATCTTTGATCCAGTAATTCCAAATCTAAGAGTCTAGCTGGAGGAACAGCCTTTCAAGCCTGTGGACTAAAACGCTTGATGCAGTGTAATTTGTAGTTGTTGAAAGCCTTTGTCTTTCTTTAAAAAGGAGGATGGTCCAGTGGATTGTGGAGTATAGAGATAATGGAATGGTAAACAGTGGCCATTAAAAGGAAATGGTTACAAAATATTTGTAATGGTATGTGACAGTCATGTGACATAAATGCAAAGGATATGTGAATTGTTTATAACATACTTTGAAGGGAAAGAATTTTAAAAGGCCAGAAGAGACTGTATCAAAATGTTTAGAGCAGTTATTATTGGGTGATGGAATTGCTCTTGCATTTCTATAGAATTTTTAAAAATATAAACGAATGTTTTCATCATATTGCAGAAGGCCAATTTGTCATTTTTTTCTGGAGACAGGGTCTCACTATGTAGTGCAGGCCACTTAATGAACTCACTTATGTAGCCCAAATTGGCCTTGAACTCATGGAGATTTTCCTGCCTCAGCCTCCAGAGTGCTGGGAGTACTGCCCGGCGTTTATTTTTGTCGTTTTGATTTGGGGAAATTTCGGGCTCCTAAATGTTTCAGTGCCTTTGCAATTTGAAGGTGGAATGGAAGGGCGGACATTGTGGAGTTAGGAGAGAAAGGCCTCAGAGCCACCTAATGTACGGTCTGGAGCGTGTTGGTGGATTCTCAGGGTGACCCTTGCCTTCTTCTCTCTCATTCCCGCAGGATCAAGTCCTGGGTGGACAAGATGCAGGAAGACCTGGTCACTCTGGCAAAGACCGCAAGTGGGGTCACCCAGCTGGTCGATGTGAGTAAAACCCACCAGAGAAACTGCTCCTCCTTGGCTTCCTCACGCACAGTTCTGTTCTTCGAGGTGGTGCCTCTGTATTACAGGGGACCCGGGAGGGAAACTGAGGCCTGTGGTGCTCTGCGTTCATATGAGCACGAGTCCATTGCTGTCGGTGAAGCTTCTCACCGCACTTTACCGTCTATGGGCATTCTCACTACGGGGCCAGCACCTATGCCGTGCACCATGCACTGTCACCTCACGGCTTCCCTCTTCACAGTCTGCCTCACAGTGTCAAACACGGCATGGGTTCAAGTCTTGCAGCCTTTGAAATATCCTCATATCTTCATTCCTAGATAATAGATTTTATATTATTTACTTATTTATCTTAGATTTTTTTTAAAAAAATTGCAAAAATGTATGTATCCATGGCTGGAAACTAGAATTCCTCCTTGAGATTGGCAGTGATTGTTTCTGTGCCAGAAATGGGGATCTATAGAGGCGATTTGAGCTAAACTGGCTGTGAAAATTGCTCAAAATGCTTTTTGAAAATGGCAGGGATAGCATATAATATAAATATTTGAATAGCATCTTAAGCTGATCGTTTTTCTTGGGGAGGAGCATTTTGGAGGTGTAATGTGCAAGATTTATTAAAAATTAGATGTCCCACTTAAGTATAAGTAATACACTGGAATATCTGCATGTCCTTGAATCCTGTACTCTTAGCAGACTGTGACCCTTGTGTATTCCAAAAATGCTGTGGGTTAGCCAGGTCAAAGAGCACAAAAGGAGTTCCATGTGTAGCACATGCATATAAATGCTTGGGAAGAAAGTATTTAGGGTTTTGATTTTCTAGGTTTTGGAATGTTTGCATTTGTATGGTTCAAAAATTGGGTTGAGAACCAATTCTAAATATGAAATTAATTTGTGTTTCGCACACACCTTATATGAAGTGTGACTAAAACACAAGGCCCGTGTTCACAGTTAAAAATATATTACAGTGAAAGATTCATTGCCATAAATTTCCCTCAAAACCCTCCCCAAAATTGAGACACACTACCCCATCTTTCTTGCCACTTTCTGAAGCGGTTCTGCATGTCCTGTGTCCTGAGGGTCTTTTCAAGGTGTGATCAAAAATGCTGCTTCTGCGTTCCATCCAGCAGAAAGGCGGGCTGGCGAAAACCTCACCTGCCTCCTTACCTGCCTTAGTCTCCAGATCTGGCAGCTCGCGACTTCTGGCTCTCCCTCAAAGTCAGAATGACCGTGAAAGCTCATTGTTTTGGATCAGTTCAGGGCATCAAGGAAGCCACAAGTCAGCTAAAGACACCCGTGGAAGAGGATTTCCTGCTCAGCTTCAAGAAGTGGCGGGAATGACGGAAAAGTGTGTTGGAAAGGAGGGACTTACCAGCAATGTGATCTATTCTAGGACATTTTTAAATTTAAACATTCTCTGTCTTTTTCTATCCCATCTCACCCTAAAAGTAATTATAGAGGATGTTTTCAGTGTGCAGTGGTTTAGCAGTGACTTTCACATAAGGCCAGGTGTGTTACTTTGAGGCTATTCAACCTGCATGTATGTGAACATTCTCCTCAGGGAGGAACCGAAATGGGAATCACCTGAGGCTTCCTTGTTAGACAGTTAATTGTTCTATAATCTCCTCATTCAGTAGTTGTACGTTTTGGACTGAGACTGTGTGGAATAATCCTGGGTTCAGATCAGCAGCTCTGATGTGAAAATCTGAAATCCAGAATCTTCTAGAATCCAGACCCATAGAGCTCTGACCTGATGCCCCAGGTAGAAAATTCCAGCCCTGAGGCAGAAACACAGGGGTGTGGCTCTGGCGGGAGCATTTGCTTAGCTTGTGTGAGGCTCTGTGTCAAATCCTCAGCACCACCCAAAACCAGCAAGTAAACAAGACCAAGAGCAGGAGAAACATCTCTGCCCCCCCTCCCAAAGCCTACTAATGTTATAAAGACAACCTTTAGGCCATGCGGGTGGGGTAGGTGTGAAGCAGGATGATTCCTGTTAGATGCAGCTCACATCTTCACAATACCTCACTGTATGTGTGCGAGTACCACATCACAGCCAGGCACACTGCACACGGAAGGCTCACCTGTGTCTGCAGGTCAGGGGCGCATTTGGAAACAGAAGGCCTTCATTCCAGTGAATTCCAGGGATCACCAGGAATTCTATCTGTTATCTCTGAGCACGAGGGCTGGTCAGGGACAGGGCAGGCACCAGGATGAATGGCAGAGCTCAGTTCTCTGCAGCAAGCAATGTCTACTCATGCAGACCCCGCCCCTGGGCTGGAGCTGCCTGGCTCTCCAAGTGCTGTCACCCCCGGGATGAAAATACACCTGGATGTGGCAGTGTCCGGAGAGTGACGGGGCTGGCAGAAGTCCCAGCATGTATTGTGTGTTTATTTTCATTTAAAAACTGTGCAGTTGACTAGGGGGAAAGCTGTCATTTGAGCACCACGAGATGGAAGAAGTGAAGAGGGATACTGATTTTCGGACTGTGCAGCTTTCTTCGATGATAGACTGGAGCTAGAAACACGAAGCTCTCAGCCTGTCCTTCCGCATCCCACCCAGAAGCACCCTGCTTGGCCTGGCTGAGCTTCCCTTGCCCTAGGTGCTGATGTGGGCTTCACCAGCCCGGCTGCTTTTGCAGTAAATCATGAGGCAAGAAAGGTCTCACCTGCTGTAGGCGGAGCAGGTGACTCAGGAGTATGTCAGTGGGGTACATGAGTGAGTCGCTTTGTCTGAATTTAAGGAACAAATCCAATGGAGAAGTCCATATGGGGCTCTTTGACGGGACACAGTGAGAGTAAAGTTATAAGTGGCATAATTATGGGTTCCATAACTTGTGTGTGTTAGGGATAGAGCAGAATTCATTGCTGGTAACACAATCCAGGTTTTAGGGCACACAGAGAAGTCCTCTTACAGGGAAGAGGGTTCCCTAGGCCTCCTTCCTCTTCCTGGACAGGAGGTGCCCCCTCTGCACAGCAGGGAGGTGGTATTGTTTTAGTCACTGGAACTTAAGTAGAACCAGAGAGAGGATGCCGGTTGAGTGCGAGCTGTGAGATGAGAGGACGTTGGGGTTTTGGTTTGTTTTGCTTTCTTTGTTTCCATGAGGGTCTGGGGATTATACCCAGGGCATCATAGGGGCTCGGTCAGTGTTTTTCTGCTGGGCTGTCAGCGGGGGATCAGACTCCCTTCGAGGCCAGGAGCTGAGTAGGTGGAGGGCCTTAGCAGGTCCCTGGGATGGAATTCTGCACTATGGAAATGATGATTCTTCCCAAGCTGACAGATTGCTTCTGCTGATTCACCAGTACAGCTCGAGTGCTACAGGAAGGCCAAGAACTAATGCAAACAGTCGTAGTACCTAACTAATACGGCCTTCCAGCCTTAGGGAAGTCGCTTTACGAGCTCATGTAACAGGGGACAGGGGGTAAATATTATTGGATAAATTCAATCTTGGGACATTGTAGATGAGAGATTTTACCCAAGTTACTTGCCTCTCTTTTGGTTAGGCCATATATTTTTCTATCCTGGATCCAGCTGGGTTTTCAAATATCTCTTATGGAATCGTTCCATTACTTAATTATTTGGAGGCTATGTATGTCCGTCACTTATTGCATATCTTTATCCAGTGAATAGATGGAATAATTCTAGGAAGAAACATATAGGAAAGAAACTATACATTTTAATTTTTAGAACTTTTAAAAGTTCAGCTGTAGGGCTTCATTTCCTACCCCTGAATTCAAGCACCACAGTAAATGCTTTATGTAGTTTTCCTCATTAATCCTCAGCAACACCATCCTTAATATGCCTGAAGAAATTCTTTACAAGTTCTAAATTTTATTCTAGATGATACACCTACTAAATTGGGTGCAACTGTGCAAAGTAAAAGCATCTTGTGTGCTTTAGCATATATGTTAATATCTCACACTTTTATATTCGTGTTTGTATTTTTAGCAAGTGAGCAGATCCCCAATTAGTTAGTATATGTGGCTATGATACTGCTCTTTTCATAAAAGTTACAAATTTTAAGAAGCTACAGCTCTGCTACCAACAGCTATCCATGCATGAGCATTTCCATTTGAATTTCCTTAAAAAAGTAGTAGAAATAAATTCTAAGATACAAATTCATATGCATAACTTGAACTTTCCTATCTTGCTTGGATGCACAGAAGAGGTTTTGTATGAGCAGCCATGAAATAATTGCCTTGATGGTAGAGAGAGTACATCTGCTGTGATTTTTGTCTCCCTGGTCTTGCAGCTGAAGAAAGAATGTATCATATTTTAGCATGGCCTTGTACAAAACCTTCCAGACCGTTATCCCTTGGTCCTGCCACTTATTGGCCTTACGACCTGGCCACGGTGCTAATGTCCCTGGACGGTTGGGGTGGAGGATGCAGTCTATACAAGCCGTGTGCTGACATGTTGTTAGAACTCCAGGCATCCATGCACGGGGTGACTGGTTCGGGGTACTGTGTTTGCTAGTTGGAGTTCAGGTAGAGCCAGGGTGACGAGGTGACAGGGTGAGTGTGTGCTCTTCTCTCATATCACAGCTCCGAGGGAGCAGTCAGGGCTGGATCCCGCTGTGCTCTTGGCTTCCATGCCTGGACTAAGCGACCCTTCCAGTGGCTGATACTTCCTAGCCACCATGCAGAGGGAAGGAGACGAAGAGTGGCACCCAATCACGTGCTAACACACTGTGCTCACACTCACATAGTAATGATGATAACTTGGTCACAAGGTCACTTGCAGCTGGGATTTGAGGAGCCTTTGTATCCAACTGAAGTTCCTCTGAAGAGCGCGGAACCCACGATGGGCCAGCAGCAGACCAGCCCTGTCCGCAGATAGATGCTGTTGTCTGAGTGTGTCTGTGCGACCCCGTGTCTGCAGAAGTGTTGCAGCCATAGTCACACAATCAAAGCTACATTTACAAATTTTAGACATGCAGATCAAGAAAAAAGCCCCCACAAATCTCAAGATTTTGAGAACCATATTTATTT